CCGGAGGCCAGAGGAGAGCGTAGACAGATCCGCGTCAACCGACCCCTGACGTTAACAATCCACCCCACCTGCTGAAGGGACGCGTTGGCCCAGGAGGCCTTGCAGCCAGAGAACATCCGTATACTCTGTCTACGTCCGCCTTGGTGGAAGGGGGGAGGGTGTATGCTGGAGGAAGGTAAAGCAGAGGACGGGGGTCTAGCAATAGGACAAAGGTGGAGAGGGGAAAGCTAGTGGTGGCTACACATAAGAGGGGGAGGGGCATGTTTCGTTTAGGTAGTCTCTTGTTTTGTTTTTTTTTTGTTTTTTGACGGTGCACAAAGATACCTCATATCGGCCCCCAGTGCGGAAGTGATTGTTGTAGTTTTCAACCCGGAATGTGGTGCGAATCCCGTGCGAGGTTCTGTCGGACCGGTGGGCGGCGAGCGGCGAGCCAGTGTCGTCCTGGGAAGGAAAGCGAGGGATTGGCCTTGCCAGCGGCAGCGGCCGGGGCCGGGGACCCACAGCCGCAAGCGGATGGCGCTCCGTCTCCTTGCTCGGGTTTTGTGGGGAGCACAGCCCGGCGGGGGTGCGGCGGGGCGGGGCCGGGCGGGCCCCACACAGCAGCAGGCCAAAGCCGGGGGATTATTTAGCGAGTGTAGCAAAGAGCCGGCAGCGGAGCGCGCGGCGGCCTCGTCCGACCTCATCTGCAGCGCAGTCCTGCACACGTGCTAATGCGACAAGATTGGATTCCGAAACCCCTGAGTGCTCGCAGGAAGGAGGCGGCAGAGGGGAGCGGCGGCGGCGTGCGGCATCGTCGTCCCCCGGGGGCCCTGGAGAGTCGCTGCGGGAGTGTACAGGCAACGCGCCTAGTGGTGCTTGTTTGTTTGGTGCAGTGCGCTGCTTTTGTAAAGAGTTGGAGCGGGGAATTGTTGTTGGGGTGCTACAGGCTCTTAAGCTTACATTCCATAATACTAAGTACTTTTGAATTCACAACTTAATGATTTCTGTGCGCGTGCTACGCTGATTGCGCATATCTACTACGCACGCGAGTACCACAAAGCTGTAAATAAAAATAGTCCAGCGTGCTGAGACGGAAAAGTTGAGTTTCGATTTGACGTCGATTTCGAAATTTCGTCGATTCGGTGGACAAAACCGAATCGATGTCGAGTCGAATTATTTGCCTCGCTGGATGACGATTGAAATTTTACTACTCTAAGTGCGATATTACCTTCTTCCGTGCAAAGTCATATGACCCCAAAAATTGTTACCTTTAATCAAAGAATTGCTTCCTCAATGGAGGGCAGCAGCAGCAGCAGCAGCAGCAGCAGCAGCAGCAGCAGCAGCAGCAGCAGCAGCAGCAGCAGCCGTGGCTCCATGAGTACGGGGCGCATTCCATCCCACACACACGGCGCAGCTGCGGTAGAGCTATGCTTGCTCCGCCGGGACGGCGAGCTGCGGCGAGCTGCGGGGCGCGCATTGTGACACGCGTCTCCCTCTCTCTGTATTCATTTTGTACTCGTCCCCGAGAGGATGGCGCGCGCGGGCGCTCACAAGTGTGTTGCGCTCCGCGGCGGCGCCGCGCTGGTGGAGGTTTTTCTTTGTGCATTCCTCGGCCGAGCACCGCGAGGGAGAAAAAAAAGACAGGGACGCAGCAAGAAAAGGCAGTGGTGGCGGCGGCGGCGGCGGCAGGGTCCACGACGGGGAGCGACAGGCGGCGGCAGCAGTGACTGCAGACAAAACAACGGCAACTTACACAACTCAACAAAAGTGCACCTCGCCTGAGTGGGCCGTCGTGGCACTCCACCGCCCGCCGCCGCCGCCCGCGCGCGTCCGTCACCACGCGGCGAAATATTTAACTCAAAAGTGGAAAGTTGTGCGAAAAGTTGCCGTCATAATCCCGCAAAAGCAAAGCAGCCACCACCAGCCCTCCCCCTCCTTCTCCTTCTCCTTCTCCTCCCTGCAGCCGCAACGTGACAGGCCCACTCAGCGATTTGAACTCGCGCGGGCGCAGAAGAAAGCGACTTTCAATCCCGGTAGTAGTCGGGCGCGGGTGGGGCGTGGCCCAGGGCGCAGGTGGTGTGCCAGCGGAGAAGAAACTTCACGTGTGCTGGTTCTTCACACGTCTCCCGCAGACCACCTGTCGTCTCTTCCGTGTATAACCTCCCTTGCCCCCCTGCGCTGCTCCGCCCTTTTCGCCTTTACATTTTCTCCAGCCCTTTCTCCAGCGTCGGCCTCACGCAGGGACCCCCCGCCCTCTCGGCCCCGTGGGCCCGGCCCTCTGCCCTGGAGCGGGGTTCGTCAACCCCAGGCCGCCCCGAGCCGGCTCGCTCCCCGGCCCCGCCCACGCTTAGCTACCCCGCGCCGTCCTAACCGCCTCCCCGCCCACGATCCGCATCCGCGTCGTCCAGAGCAGCGATCGAGTCTCTTGGGCTTTGCACCAACATCGCGCGCACAGCAGCGAGATTCTGCACCACTCTCATTATTTCCGTTTTGTTCAACGCTGTTGCGTACACTATGACGCCACAGACAATCAAATATGAACTGTGTCACATTGATTAGAATATCAGGTCACATTTCCTTATAACCTTTGCCTCACGCCCGGCAATACCCACACAACCTTTGTACGTGGTACGCATGTTTTATAAGTCGCATGTATAATCAATCTGATTCAAGCCGCAGTCGTTCAAGTTTTGAGCCCATTCAGTTTTGCAAATCAGAACCTGACCTTCACACACTCTTAATGTAAAAGCATTTTGTTCGGGAAGGAAAAAAGGAAAGTCGAATTCAGCAGCGATAGGCACGGGATAATTCGATGTTGCCAGAGGAAACTCGTGCTTCTCTTCCCTTCCGATTATCAGAGTCTATCTTTTTCCTCGCCCGGCTTTCTCATTCTGGCTGATGAGAGCGCGCGCCCCGCTCCTTTCATGTTACGAGGGACAATTAGACGCAAGCAGCTATTGAGTGCGCTGCGCAGGGCTGCGAGAGGCGGGGGCGCGCGGCCGGGTCCCCCGGGGCGTCGTGCGCGAGGGTGAGGGGGCGGCGGGTGGAAGGCAGCAAAGAGGGGAGGAGGCAAAACCAATACAAGACGGACGCACGACCGGCCGATTTGCTAAAGAAATTAGGACGCCCATTTGAGAGTCCCGCGGGGAGAAATAATTAAATGGGTGTCAACATTGCGGATTCCAGTGGCGAGAGGGAGGGAGGGCGAGGGGGTGGGCGAAAACAAAAAAAAGAGGGAACGACCCTCTTTTTCCCTCTTTCTTCCTCTAGGCGGGCGTTACTCCGCACGTCTTGGTCGGACGCCGCCGCCACATCTGCCCCTCGCCCCTCGCCTGCTTTGGACCGCTGAAAGGAGCTTGCTAAATTATTCGCGACTTATGTGATTTTTATTATTTCCTCGTGCTTCTTCCCGCCGAGTGAAATGTTGATATGCGGCGGCCGGTCCTGGAGATGAGTGCCGGGCCGGGGCGAAACGCCTTTTATTCAACGTTTCCAGCTTTTGCGCCGACTGTGCGCCGCGCGCTTAGTGCTACCGACAATTTTCGTTATTCCGTCAGACACGCGTGGGTCGAGCGCGACTCGACACAGGAAAACTAATCTGCGCCGTTTACTTGTTTGAGTCTCGTGTTTCAGCCATATGGAATAACATTATGTGAAACAGAAAATAAGACGTTTTCAAATGAACTCAGGCATTTACACATGTTTTCTGTCATATCAAACAATAACTTTTCCAATGGAAATTACCACATTTTCTTGATTGAAGGAACCTGTTTGTGAGAGATATGGCGGAAACATTAGCAGGGAGCAAAGAGCGTTGAGATTTTGCGAGAACAATTGGTTTCGTCATATGAAACGCAAACAAAACACAGAAGCAGGTGAGGGTTTCCTATTTGCACACTCCGCTGTGTCTGTAATTTGAATGTCAGTATGACTTTGTGCACGCGCCTCGTGTTTCAGTGCCGCCAACTAAAAGCCGAGATGTGGAGTTGACTTTCAGTCCTGGTGCAACACGAGGCGGTAGGCGCAACAAAGAAGTAAAAGCAACACAAGCGCAAACAAATTGCACAAGGGGGGAGGGGTACTGGACGTGCTGCGATAAAACAAAATAATACGAAAGAGGGAGAAGGAAATAAACAGTCCGAGATGTCGTCGCAAATAATCCCCTAGTGTTGATAAATTAGCCAGGCACCGCTGGCCGCAAAACCACCGCAAGACGTCTCACTCCTGCAGCAGAAGCAGAGCATCACGAGCAGCAGGAGAGGCAGCAGAGCGGTAACGCCTCCGGCGGGGACTGCAGCCGGGACTTTCAGCAGATGAGGAACTGGAAGGAGGGGTGGGTTTAGGGGAGGCAGGTGCGCATTCTACATCGCCGAGCAGCAAAGACGATACACTGCTAAGTTGGCTT